TACTAAGAATGTAAAGGCAGAAAACCAAAAATATTGTTAAAAAACAAACAAACAAAAAACTTCTGAGATAATCCTTAGAACAAGAGGTAATACTATGAGATGGGCTCTGTGTCCAAGATCAGAAACCAAAGTAGGAAGGCCTCCCAGAGTATAATCTTAGCATACTACAGAGTCTGAAAGCCAGCTCTTTCGGGAATTGCTGGTAATGGGGGTGATGCAAACAGGTGTATAAATGCCTTGGGAAGTAGAATAGCTGTCACCAAGACAAATGAGGGCAGACCATAAATATTAGCCCAGATGTCAACAGGGAGGGAAATTCGGCAAGCCTGAGAGTCCCCCCGACTGGGCAGGAGGTGGCTTATTCTAAGGTTCCACAGCCCTGGTGAGCGTCTTACCAGCAGCCTCCTTAGCCACCAGGACGCGCAGGCACCAGTAGATGGCACTACAGCAGCTCGCTTCCCAGAGAAGATATCTCTCCAGCCACCTTGGGATTTCTCAGCTGTTACACAAAATTCTGCCTCTTATATTCCATAATGACCTACTCAAGTTTTCCATTGTTTGGAAAGATTTATTTCACAAAAAGACAGCAGCTTATGTGAGGTAGAGGACTGAATGAGCATGCACCAAGGGTTTGGAAGGATGGATGGGTGTGGGTGGGCTGTTAGGGGTTAAGGAGGGAGAAAGGCTGGAAAAAAGAAGAGAAAGGATGGAGAAGTAATAGAAAAATGCTCCCAGGGATGACTCTGGGTGCTACTTACACATGTGGCGGCAGTTCAAAGAAATTGACCCCTTGATAAAGTTCCATCTGGCTCATGGTGTAGATGTCCAGTTCCTGGTATGGATTCACAGACACAAGGAGGGTCCCAATGTACGTCTAGAGGGGTGGACCAGAGCATTGGTGAGGGATTCGGGGTGTGAACTGCTGTCACATGCTAGAACATCCATGTTTTTACTATTTTTAAAATTTTGCTAGAGGATAAGACAAATGAGGGCAGACCATAGATATTAGCCCATTAAAAATGTACTTGCTAGCGAAGACAGAGAGAAAGAAAGTGAGAAAGTTCGCCCCCTAGGGGGATGTGGCTGCAATCCCTTCTTGTCCATTCTCCCCTTGGGATTTTGGGCATGCACGCATGTGCACATAGAATGTTTTCATGCCTTTCGGTCCAGGACTCCAACCAAAGAGTCAGTCATGTGGGATCCAATGCCTTAAACTCCGCACCACCTGCTGGGCCCATGAGATGATTATTTTAAAAAATGCTTCTGAATGTCTAATTTATTCATTGCCAAAACTAATAAGGGCTGTCCTAGTTAAGGGAGCTGGATCCCATATGGCAGACCATGATTCAAACCTGGGCCCTGGTGACTTGAAAAAACATGCCAAGGCATGTGTGCACATGTCTGAAATCCTTCCGGGATGGTGAAATGAAGGACTGCAGTGTGACCAGGTCCCACTGAGGGGCACTTTTTCTCTCTTCCTCTTTCCTGTCTCCCTCTCTCTGTCTCTGAGTGCACATGCCCTCTGGCAATTAAAAGACCCTAATAAAATCTCTAAGAAGTGGGACAAGCAGGTGGTGTAATGGGTCGCTGGTCTCGAACCTAGCGGCTTAAAACTCACATCAGGAGCCTGTGTATGTGTGCCCAAGATCCCAAGAGGAGAATGCAGAAGGGATTGCTGCATGTCCATCCGACCTGGGAGATGATTTCTCGCTTTCCGTCTGTCTCTCCTGTGAGCCCATGCACAACAAAAATCTCTCTCAAAAAAAAAAAATCTAAGAAGCTAAAAAAATTTGATAACACCCCTATCACACATAGGCCCTATTTACCCTAAACAATTTACCTCAAGGTCAGCCGATCAAATCAGGGTGTAATGATAGAGAATAAAAACTGGCCATGACTAGATGTGACAAAAATCAGGGGAGAGGGCTAATAAAATGCTGCGGTCGGACCTCTGAGGATGTGGTAGATAATCTCTTGTTTTTTGCCCGTGGCATCTTTTTCCCCTTCTTCCAACAAATTCCTTGGAGAAACTTCCTCACCTCTTTGTCGGTGTGGTCTGCCGGACTCTGAGTCTTCCTCTCACCTCCAGGGGCGGGCCTAGTTACCCGCCTGGCCAATCCAGATAGTCCTCACTCGTAAGCCATAAGGATTGGTTCACAGACAAGCACGTGACCACAGATGGTCCAATCAGAGCCTATCAAGGTCAGCCTGGGACATTTAGAGGAATTGCCTCCCAGAAGACACTCTTCTCCCTAGCAAGACTAAGCTGATGGAATGTGAGTGGATCTGCTGAAAACTATCTTGCCACTGTGCAAAGAGAGATTGCCTGAGAAGACAGTGAATGCAAAAGAAAGCAGGGCAGAGAGATGGAGAAAGATCACTCGCGATATCGTCTGAGACCCGAGAGGCAGTCCTGTACCCTAAAGTTACAAGAGTCCATATATTCTATTTTGGGGTTTAGGCCAGTTTCAGGTGAGTCTCTGTCACTAGCAGCCATAAAAACCTTAACACAAAAGATCAAAGCCCCTCTGGTAATGGTCCCTGGACACCTCCCGTTAACGGCACTTAATAGTGTTCACAATCATCAAGGCCGCATAGACGGGGAAGGAACAGCCACTTTGGAAAACAGCTGAGAAACGGATTGAATTACATAGATGAGGTTCTCGCTGAAACGCTTGCGCAGGTTGTCCAGAAAGGCAGATTCGCTGGTGTAGGCGTCCAACAGCACGAAATCCTGCACCCCGACCTTGTCCCGGGCGGTCAGCGCTCCTTCCATGTGCAGACGGATGTGCTTCCTCCTCACTTCTTCTTTCTGCAGGAAACAGAACAGGCCCCAGCAGCTCATGTACCTGGTAACTGCTCAGACACATCTAACGCATGGAGACCTAAAGCTATTAAAGTCTGCTGTCTTCCTTAGACGGTGCCACCTGAGTAATGGCAGCAGCCAGGTGGTGATGCGGTAGTAATGCAACCGAACCCGCAGAGTTCCAGGATCGGTCCTGAGGCCACTCTGTGCACACCAGGCATGCACCTGTGTGTCCAGGATTGGGGCTGGCTAAGGCTGGGGGTGGGTCACAGCAGGAGGATCCTGCTAGGGATGTCTGTCTGCCTGTCTCACCCTTTTCTGTGTTTCTTCCTGATGGAAGGAAAATAATTTACAATAATCAAACAGTAACAACAGGAACAGCAGCTGACAGGAGGAGAGTATTTGCTGTGTCAGCACCACTATGGTTTATGTATTATCTCTTTTCATCCCATTCTGACCCCCTGAAGTAGGTACAGTTTCATACAGATGAGGAAACTAAGGCACCAGTCCTGCCAAAGATCTGCCGAAAAGGCAGAGCCGGAATATGAACCCTACTGCAGGCCGAGAGCTGGCTTTCCTGACTACCATGAACCCGGTAAATGTTCACTGTCTAAATTCACTGTGTCACGAAAGGGAACTTCTCTGTGACAGAGGAATATTCAAGGAAGGACAGGGCCAGCAGGTGGCATGGAGGTTAAGGCAGGTAGGTCCCACGTTGCCAACTGCATGGTTCTAGTTCCAGATCTGGCAGCTTGAAAAACACCCCAAATCCTGGGAGAAGTGATTGAAGTGTGGCCATCTCCCCGAAGGGTGATTTCTCTCTCTTTCTTTCTGTGCATATATATATATGTATATATATATGTGTGTGTGTGTGTGAATATATAAACTTGAGATGGATCTTAGGCATAAATATTGATGCAAAACTTATATCACCACTAGAATAAAACAGAGGAAACCTTTGCACTCAGAAGAAGGGAATTTTTTTCTTAGGATATAGGAAGAAATAACAATAAGAGAAAAATACATAAGAAATTAGTCTTCATTAAATATGAAACTTCTCATCAGAAGATAACTGTTAAGAAAATGAATAGGCAAGCCACAGACTGGCAGAAAATATTCACAAAATATATACCTGCAAAGGATTTATATCCAAAATAAAATATTTCTAGAGCTCTATAATAAAAGACAAACCCAACAGATATTGGGTAAAATGCTTGAATGAGCATGTCACACAGGAAGACAGACAACTGTTTGATAAGTATGTAGAAAACTGCTCAACCTCATTAGTCATCAGGAAAATGCATATTAAAATTATACTGAGGAGACCAGCCTTATAGGAAAGTAATTAAGAGTCATACTTCAGGGACTAGATTCCACATGGCTGACCATGGTTTGAATCCAAGTCCCAAGAGCTTGAAAAATACACCAGACGTGTGCATGCGTGTCTCAAATCCTGATATGGCGGAGAAATGGAGGAAAAAGGACTGCGATGACCACACCCTATTGAGGGGCGCTTCCTCTGTCTTTCTCCCTCTCTGGTAAGCACATAGATCCTCTGGCAAAAAGAAAAAAATATATTAAAAACCAACACATTGGGCCAGCCAGGTGATATGGTAGTTAAGGTGGCTGGATTCCATATGGTTAAATGCATGGTTCGAATCCCAGACATAGCAGCTTGAGAAACACACCAGGTGTGTGCATGTGCATGCCCCAAATCCCAAGGGAATGGAGAAAGGATAGCCATTCTCCCGGGGGAGGAGGGGAATGATTTCTCACACTCTCTCTGTGTCTCTCCCTAGTGAGCACACGTGCCCTATGACAAAATTTAAAAATAAAAAAATAAAAACAACACACCAAGATACCACCAGAATAGTTAAAATGAAAAAGATGGGCAACTCCAACTCCTGGTGAGGATGTGGACCAGACAAAACTCTCATCCGTCACCGGCAGGAAAGCGAATCCCGTCACTTTGGGAAAAGGTCTGACAGTTTCTAAGGAAATTCACCATGTCTCTGTCTTTTTTCCACCCTAAGTATTTACACAAGAGCAATGTAAACATCTGTCCCCCAACAACACTTCAACACCAAGTTCAACTCAAGCTTACCTTTACTCATAATGGCCCAGGCTGGAAACAGTCCAAATACCCGTCGCTGGAGGGTGGAGTGGTAATTCCATACAAAAGAACGGGGACAGCCATAAAAGAGAAGTAACGGGCGCACGCGATAGCGTGGACGACTCTCACAGACATGTGCTGAATGAGAGCGCCCGGACACAAAAGCGCGCCTACTGTAAGAGCCCCATCTCTACGACAGTCCAGGACAAGCAAAACTAATCTACAGTGAAAACTAAGAACCGCTGCTGCCAGGCTGGATGACGGTCAGGCAGAGGATGTTTTTGGAGCAATGGAAATGTTCTCTACCTTGATAGGGCTGTGCATTTCATGGGCGTGTCAAAATAAGTTGTTACAGTTTGAGGCATTTCAACATATGTGCACTTTATTTTTTAAAAATAATCAAGTGAGGAAGGAGGTAGAGAGTGGGTGAAGGCAGAAATAAAAATGGAATGGGAGAATGATTACACTATTCTGCTTACTTTGTATACATTTGAAAATGTAATACATATACTTATAATATTTATTAAAAAAAAAAACAAAAACAGAATGACCACCAGATGTCTCCATCCACTAGCCAAATGGAGCAAGAATAACCAACCACCAGCAGCTTAAGGCTGAAAACAATGTATTTAGATCAAACAATGTTTTAAACTTAAAAATATTCCCATTAAAATTTTCTTAATGCCAGAGGGTGCATGCATGCACAGACCCACGAGAGAGAGAGAGAGAGAGAGAGAGAGAGAGAGAAGTAGGGGTGAGAGTATCACTGGGTTGCCCTTGTAAACGCAGGAGGGCATCTGGGGAACTGGGGAGTCTGGGCAGAGGAGAGTTTGCAGGCCACTGAATATGCCCTGGATCTCTGCTCCCCAACATCATTGTTTGAGTACTTCCTTCACATTTAAAAAAAAGAATTATTTTTATCATTTTTAAAGAATTATTTATTTTATTAATTCCATTTGTTATTATTATTTTTTAATTTGACCAGAGAGAGAGAGAAAGAGAAAGTGAGAAAGCAAGCTGCCAGGTCTGGGACTCAAACCACAGTTGCCATATGGGAGTCCAGTGCCTTAACCACCACACCACCTGCTGGTTCCTCTAAGACTTTTCAGTAGAGTATGCGTTTAAAAAGTATTTTTTAAATAAAATGTATCATGTATTTATTCTGACCCTACTGATTTGATACATAACTAAGGGGATTGCATTTAACCTTGTTTTTCTTATATGTCGTTCCTTTCCCCGTTCCTTTCCCCCATCCAAATATCCAGTTCACTGGCACAAACGTTTTCTGTTGGCTGTGTCCCACATCACAGACACATTACCTCAAAGTAACAATATCTGGGGAACCAGGAGTTAGCGTAATGGCTATGTCGACCGCGGTTCGCATCCCAGACCCGGTGGCTTAAAACTCACGCCGGGTGCGTGTGCGTGTGTGCCCAAGATCCTGAGAGGAGAATGGAGGAGAGGGGATTGCGGTGTGACCATCCCCCCTTGGGGGTGATTTCTCACTTTCTATCTCTATGTCTCTGTCTGTCTGGCGAGCGCACATGCCCTATAGCAAAAACCTCTCCAAAAGAAGAGACAGAGAAACAGAAAGCAAGAAATCCCCCCCGCCCCCCAGGGATATGGCAATGTTGCAATCCCTTCTCCTCCGTCCTCCTCTTGGGATTGCGAAACACATGCCCAGCATGAGTTTCAAGCCACCAGGTCCAGGACTTGAACCAGAGTGGACCTTATGGAAGTCTAGGGCCTTAAACACTATGCCAACTGCTGGCCCTGAAGTAAAGATATCAATATTATCATGAAAATTGTTACTGAAAACAGTTTCAAGCTTTTGAATTCTTTGTCCTCAGGGTCTATAGCTCACTGGGGTTGTGTACACACATTGGTGTGCTTTTAAGTTGCCTTGAAATAGCTGATCTCTATTTGGCTAAACCAGCAACTGGATCCATATTTAAATCCATTACTTTCATTTTACTGTTTGTCTTCAGGGTTTTGTTTTTCCAAAGGGTGTTTTTTATTCTTCTCTCACTTACCCAGAGAGAGAGAGAGGAAGAGGAGAGAGAGAGAAAGAGAGAGCATGGTCACACCACAACCCTTCTCTTTCATTTCTCCCACAGCTTGGGATTCTGGGTACTCAGGCATGTTTCTCAAACCACCAGGTCTGGCACTTGAACTGTATAGTCAGCCATGTGGGATCTAGTTGCCTTAACCACTAGGCCATGGCTAGCCTGCTTTGTAATTATTTTATAATTATGTAATTTATTTAACGGCTCCAAAGAATAAAGTCAGACACATTCAAAGAACTAGCTCTTACCCCTGCTGCTTCTCCCCACTCCCTTCCTCCTCCTGTAAATAACTGTTGTTAACATGCTAAATACAAATATAACCAAATACACATGTAGATGTTTCCTTCCTTTGTTAGACACGCTTGCAAACTCTGCGTGTTCTTTTTTCACTTCGTCTTTTCTCTGGGAAATCTATCCTAGAGATCACTGCAGAGTTGTTTATAGAGACGTTCCTCATTACTTTCCAGAACTGCAAAATACTCCATTGTTTGTACTTAATGAACTGTAGTTTATTAAAACAGTCCCATACTGAGGGATCTTAACTAGCCTCTCTCTGACAGAAATGGACAGAAAACAATGGCAAAAATTCAGTAGGACACAGAAGATCCAAACAGGACAATTAACAAACTCATGTAGCACGCTGCACCCAACAGAGTAGACCGTGTCATTTAAACATGCATAGAACCTTTACAAAAACTGACATCAGGGACCAGCAGTTAGCATAATGGCTATGTCGCTGGACCCCCATGTAGTCAACCATGGTTCTAGTCCTGGACCCGGTGGTTTAAACTCACACCAGGCACATGTGTGAGCATGCCCAAGATCCT